GAAGTTTGAGTACCGCCCTGTCTCAATAATAATATTATGTGCTCTTGTTTGGCGACAACGGATATAATCCGCCGTATCGGTTCATCGCATCGGAAACAAAAAAGCGAAAGAATTTGGAACGATGTTTTTACAACTATTTCATTCATTTGTATACAGTCAGTGTCAGTGAATAGTGGTATCTGTTGTGTGGCTCAAACGAAAAAAAATGGCACATGTTTATGCGGATCGGTTTCCCAATCGAGTGCAACCAACCCCTCGTGCCTTTGTTAATGTAGTACAACGGGCTCGTGAATCAGGTGACTTAAGACCTCACAGGGGACCTCACGATCAAATACAGGTCCGCACTGAAATACTTGTCGGGAGGATACTTTATAAAACAAGGTAAACATTTTTTTTTTATTTTTACACACATATTTTGGTTTATCTTCCTTCTACAATCATTATCTGAAAATTAATGACTCAACTTCAAAGTCACCCTGTATAATGTTGAAAAATAAAACCACTAATACCAGAACAGAAGCTTTGGGATCTACCGTACTAAAGATCCAGAAATAAATAGTGACATTCGTCAGCTTTAATTTAAAATTACTTCATTTTTCAAGCAACAACGGTTTAACAATCAGATGAAGGGAATTCTGTTTATAAACGTAAATTTTATCACAAAATCGACATTTTTTCTTTATTTTATCTATAACAAAAAAGTTTAAACATTTCTTAGCGAAAGGCGATTCGAATGATGCATGAACCTTTTAGCATTAGATCCTTGGAAGGTAATAATACAAGCCCGAGTTAGGAGACTTCAATTGTATTATCTTGTTTAGATAATTTGAGTATTTTGGAGGACCTAATGCCGCTTTGTTATCTGGAGGGTATTCCGGTAGAGGACACATCATACGGTTTTTGAAAGGGAGACCTATATAGCAGACTTTGTATGGAAATCCGAAATGTTAATGTACAGTTTTTTTAACTGATCTTGGATCAATGTGTCTTGGTATCGGATATTCACGAATTAAATTTTATATATTCAGTATTTCTGGTAGGTAACTTATTGCTGGTTTATGAAAGGAGGACCTATCCACGTGGAGATGTAAATATATATATATATATATATATATATATAATCAACTTTTATGCAAAACAGCTTATGGGCACCTTTAGAATGAAACTGTTCAACTTCTCTTATAAGTGGATACTGTAGGTTTGTCAAAGCACTTGTAACTTGAATTACTGCATCTGCTTGTGGCAACAAAGTATATGGAATAAAATCTCATATGGTGAACGTTTTTATCTTTCTTATTGCATGTTCAACATGAATCCTAGCTCGTGTTTGTCTTACCTGTTCAGCAAGGAACTGACATGTTGTAAGAAATGGTGGAATGTTGATATTAACACCAGAAGGCATTAAGTGCTTTGTTAAAAAACCTGCCAATACTAAATCTCCTGCTTCCAGGTGATTAGGTATTCCACCATCCTTAACAATTTGAACCAGGATACAAACTAGACATGTAAGTAACTGCCCCATTTGGAGCTACACCAACTAACCCTTTGCAGGTATTTCTGTGTTTGTATGAGCCATATGTTAATTTGGTGTTGCCATACTTGACCGACATACAGATGTATATACTTCAGTACAATCTAAGATTATCCTACAGTTTGTAAAACTACTGAAACAATTTGGCAGGCAAAGCTTGTTTTTATTTCTTGAAGGAATTTTTGTCATCATTTGTTTGAAAATAATTTCATGAAGTAAATGTATTCATGTTGTTATAACATTTGATACTGCACCCTGTGATTCATTGAAGCGAACAGCTAAATCATCATGAGGGAAATTTTGTCTTAGCTTAATGAGAGTTATGAATAACTGATTTTTGTCATTTTTTTTACTTTCCATTTATAGTAATATGCTATATCAATGTCCTTAACAGGTTGAATAAAGAAAAAAATATTTTCTCTGTGGGTAAGCCAGTATACAGCAGTACTAGCCTGTCATTTCCTTTCGCAACATCAAAAGAAAACCTATCAGCGAGATGCATAAGGTTCTCTGTAGCTTGCTCCAAATCTTGCTGAAGATAGTTTCCAGCATCTAGTAATGGATTCAACATCGAACTTCCTGCACAAGGTTCATCAGTTTGTACTGAGGTGGATGGCTGTGGCTCACTTTCAGATCTGTGAACACAATACATTTGCAGATACTTGAATGAAATTGATATTGTAGGACTAACCTTATATCTACATCCCTATTAATAGATTGATCTGCTGTCTTTTTATGTGTTCCTCTTTCTGGTGATGGGAAATTTAATTGCTTCTCTCTATTATACTCAAATAATGTAGATCCATTTTCTTTTTCCCCATCCACAAAATCACAACTACAAGAGTCTGCACCACGACCTGGTTGAACTGTTCTCCTGCAATCAAATGAAACAATATAAGTATAGACTTTGTTGTATTAAATTATACATTTCCTATGTTCCCAACAAATATTAATAATTCCACTATGGTCTTTGTGATGTTACCTTGTAAGTTTTATCTAGCGATTCCTTGTTTTAGGATCTTTGGGAAATCTGAACATCTTACATGTTTCTCTAAAATTATAAAACTTATAGTCGGGTGCCCATTTTCTGTAACAAATATTAACAATAACACCAAAGTTCAGATTGAAAATATCCTATTAAAGAAAGGTAAGTTACAATATCTAAGTACAGCATTTTTTATCACTTATCACTTATTTACATACCTGCTTGTAAACTAACAGCCTGATTTTCAACAAAAAAAATTTCTAGATTACACTTGTCCCATGTCAGCGCTCTCCTATTGTGAACATATGTTTTCTTTTTAAATTGTAGGAAATTTCAGGCTGATAAAACATGATATAACTCAAAAGCAAGCACAATTTGGTGCAAATAGATGTTTGTGACATAACCTCAAAATAGAGTTCTGACACAGAGAAGTAGAAAACTATGACAATCAAGGAGGCCATAAAGGCGCCCTACAATTGTAGGGACGACTGATGATACGGGCCTAAATTAGTAAAATACAGAGTTTGAAAAAGCAAAAGGAGATTTATTATAAGGACAGAAAACTTCACTCCCACTGATATACCAAATCCTATGAGTAGAATCCATCGTTCACACATATATTTTATTGTTACATCATTGATTATGTAGGTATTTTCTATTTTTTTATCTGCTCACAAGAGCCACCCTTCTACAGGCTCTTCATTTATTTGTCTTCTATAAAATTTTATGTGTAATTGTAATAAAAACAAAAATATGCTTATCAAAGATTGACATGTTACTCTGGGACACCATGTATTGGGGGTGGTGTGTGGTACTAAATATTGATCAAATAGTGGATAAATGCACCATTTGTTAGGTGAATTGTTACTTAGTCAGCTTTTATATGTGCTACTGGTTGTTGCATTTTAGTCCAGTTTAATTTTTGCAAAACAATTAAGCTTTTGGTAGAATTTCTTTGAAGTATGTATGTTGTGCTTAGATCGTTTTTACATCTTCCCTCAATGTAAGAACTTGGTGAAATTCTAAGAAAATGTACAATGAATGAATGATTTGCGGCATATACAGGTTGTTATCAACAAAATTTATAAATGCTCCTGGAATAAGTATGCAGTAATTATAAAACATGAAGTTCACTTACACTGAGCTGGTGGCATACACACGTATTTCCTAAAAATTGGACTACTCTTCGCTTGATTCTTTACAACATTTGCTATTGGCTTACTTATTTGTTTTAGCAACAGAGCCCCTACAAATAGAAAGGTTCACATTTGAGCCTTCCATCTTAATTTTTCTTTAACGAATCCCCAGCAAGGATACCTCATTACTCACCTAATTTAGCTGCAGGAAAGGCACCTATCACCATTTTTTCTTAACTTTATTACTAGATACAACTATTCAAATAACTTGCACCACTTTTAAAAATAATGCTGTAACCACAGGCTATAACCACAAACCACAAAACATATACACTGAAGAAGGCACAAAACACGTAAGACCACAAAACATATACACTGAACAAGGTTTAATTCCATGCTATTCAATGGCAACACGGTGACTTGTATGGTTGTCAGCGGCCATTTTTTGAGGGTGCGACATGGTTGCCAGATTGTGCATTAATATCCCGCATCGTACATATAAATCTGCGATTGCTTGATTGCTATACTTTTTATGTATATATACAGGGTGTTTCAGTTTATTGTTGCATAACTTTAAGATTCGATAGAACTTTTAAAATTAATGCATAAAGTCTATATAAACATGGGTCGAAAAATGCGTGGCTTCCCAAATACAGGGTGTTCAAATTTACTTTTTAAAATAGTTTTTTTTGAATATTTCGAACAATATTTGATGTATAACAGTGAAAATTGGTATACAAGGGTTTTTTGGTACGACAAAACGAACCATGGGCATAGTTTTACTGTAGCCGCTAGAGGGCGCTCTCTACTGTAACTGTAGTGTATTAAAATGACCGAAAATTTTTTCTTCGTGCAATTTTTTGCTTTTTGAATAAAAAAGCTGATTCTTCGCACTTTTCTGCATAAAAAAGCTTTCCTGTGAGTTAGCCGTTTTTGAGATATTTCGATGCATTTTTAATTATTTATGGGAAAATAATATTTTTTTTACATTTTCGATTTGGGCATTACAAGTAATTAAGATGATCGTTTTGATTGTGTTTTTGAACACAGCAATAATTCCTAACTCCAAATAAACACAAAAAAACAGAATATTAATTTGTTTAATTTTCCAATATTGTTTTTAACAAATTAAATTAATTATTTACAACTAAAATGCTATTGGATAGTTAGGACAAACATACAAAATCGAAAGTAGTTGCTCGAAATGTAAACCCAATTGTTCAATACACAATTCACATCTACAAATGATCGAACGTGGTATAGCATTATTCAAATAAGGCCTTATTTCATCACATGCATTCCTGATTCTGTTTATTAGCATATCTCTTGTGGTTACGGGAGTCTGGTACACTTTTTCTTTTAGAAATCCCCACACAAAGAAATCTAATGGATTTAGGTCAGGGGATCGTGGAGGCCAGGCGACTGGTCCTCCACGGCCGATCCATCTTTCTGGATAATTTTCGTCCAACCAGTTTCTAACTATTCTCGAATAATGAGCTGGACAACCATCAAGCTGGAACCAGGCCAATCTTCTTAAATTTAACATAACATCATCCCACATATTTGCATGTTCAGCCTGTAAAAATTCCAGAAGGTCGCAGCATTTAACCTTGCAGGCAAAAGGTAGGGTCCAAATAGTCGCTTACGGTAGATACCAACCCACACGTTCACACTAAATTCATGATGAAAATTTCTTTCCCGAACTGCATGCGGATTTCCATGCGACCAAATATGTTGATTATGAAAATTTACCACTCCACGTCTAGTGAAGCATGACTCATCGATCCATAAAACGTTACTTAAAAACTCCCTATTATTATCAGTCCTATCAAGAATCCACTGACAAAATGTGATTCTTCGTTCTCCATCCCCTGGCTGTAGTCCTTGCACAGGTTGCAAATGGTAAGGACGTCTATGGTCATTTCTAAGAACACGGACATGGCTTGCTGAAATTCCCAAGGCACCAGAAACTCTCCTAACACTTGTGGTCGGATCTCTATCAAACTCACGCAGAATCATACGGGTAAATCTGCGCTGACGAACATTTATGTTTTGATCCCTTTGGAGATTTAAAAAACCATTTTCAATTATTTGCCGATGCACTCTTACAAATACTGAGCGAGTTGGATGTCGTCTGTTTGGAAATCTTGGTGCGTATTCTCTGGCTGCTTCTGCTACGTTTCCATTTACAAAGCCATACACAAAATGAATACTCCGTTAACTCTACAAAAAAACAGGTAAAAGAAATAAATTTCGTGCATCACAATTGCAAAAAAAACGTTTCAGGTTTCAAACAGACAACAAAACTAACTGTCAACTAATTGACCGTTTAACCTTATCTGCTTTCAATTTCAAAACATATTTGCAGGCACAGCCTACGTCTAAAAATTATCGAGATACTGACTTTTTATGTTATTTTATCATAATAATTAAAAATGCATCGAACCTTAGAAATAGAAATATCTCAAAAAAACGGCTAACTACAACGAAAATTCACAAGAGAGCTTTTTAAGAGTGCGAAGATTTAGTTTTTTTATTCAAAAAGCAAAAAAATTGCAATAAGAAAATTTTTTTCGGTCATTTTAATACACTACAGGTACAGCAGAGAGCGCCCTCTAGCGACTACAGTAAAACTATGCCCATGGTTTGTTTTTTCGTACCAAAAACCCTTGTATACCAATTTTTTACTGTTATACATCAAATATTGTTCGAAATATTTAAAAAAAACTATTTTAGAAAGTAAATTTAAACACCCTGTATTCGGAAGCCACGCATTTTCGACCCATGTTTATATAGACTTTATGCATTAATTTTAAAAGTTCTATCGAATCTTAAAGTTATGCAACAATAAACTGAAACACCCTGTATATAGGGTAAAAATACAATTACTTGTAATTGGGAAAGTGGCAAAACTTTTAGGCTTAAGTTGACTCTTTGACGATACAATCAAGCTTTCGGCATTCTCTATGGAGCCTTCATCAGGATTCTGAAAACACAAATTGTGATGCAAGCAAAGAAAACAGGACATGTGTTTCAGAACGAACGTAGAGAAGATCGAACTTGTGATCAGTATAAAAACAAAAGACGGGGACATGGGCTTGTTGAAAAACGACAGATACCTTCGTTAAAGTTAAAAAATTAAAATATATCATTACACCCGAACAAGTTAAAAATATTACACGTGGGGAGACATTTTGTTGAAACAATCGGAATGCAGTCCCTAACCTTCTACTACCGCTACACGTGGAGAGGAGGAAGGCACGGAAAGGTAAAGCGTCGACAGATGACAAGTGACGCGACGGACCGTGGACAATGTACACCTCCCTGTCCAACTTTGGGTATAAAGTATACGAGGGACGCTCGGTAAATCTCCACCCCAAATTACTAAAATGCTGAAAAAACTTGTTTTGGAAAAAGTGTGTAGTTCATATGAGTGCAGAATGTGTGATATTGATACAACCTTGAAAAGATGGGTTATGTGAGTTTATATTAAAAATGTGAGTGAGAAAATGTATTCTAATTTTGTGAAAATGTTGGTTCAATTTGGATATGTAGCCGTTCTAGCTTTTCGCAATTCAACAGGTTAGGAATAAATGTCATGAAAATGTGGGACATTTCTAAAAATAAACGTTTTGAGAGTCTTTTCTCTTTATCAAGAACCTCAATACTGCCATAATTCATGAGTAACCTGTGTTGTTAACATGCGATGCCAAAGCACATCTTTCTGGATGTAATCTGGTAACATCCTCTGCTCATATATATATATATATATATATGACTTTGAAGTTAAACCAAAATATGTGTGTAAAAATAAAAAAAATTTTTACCTGTTTTATAAAGTATCCTCCCGACAAGTATTTCAGTGCGGACCTGTATTTGATCGTGAGGTCTTGGAGCACGGCATGCCCTCCCCTGTGAGGTCTTAAGTCACCTGTTTCACGAGCCCGTTGTACTACATTAACAAAGGCACGAGGGGTTGGTTGTACTCGATTGGGAAACCGATCCGCATAAAACATGTGCCATTTTTTATTTCGTTTGAGCCACGCAGCAAACACCACTTTCACTCACGCGTTACCGACTGACACATTGACTGAATAAAAACATCGTGATCAGCGTTTCAAATTCTTTCGCTTTTTTGTTTCCGATGCGATGAACCGATAAGGCGGAGTATATCCGTTGTTGCCAAACACGAGCACATAATATTATTATTGAGACAGGGCGGTACTCAAACTTCTAAAGGGCTATAACTTTGTTACTTTAATTTTACCACAAAATGTTAAAGGAAAAAACATTTCTTTTGATCAGATCTACTCACTGTTAAATAAATGACTCAACTTCGAGTATAGTATAAGTATATATAAATTTGGTAGGATATGGGAGATATTATAACAGCATGGTTATTAACATTTTGTGCTATCTTGACGAATAAATGCTTTTTTTTTCTTTGATGTTAAATAGCAACGTCAATAACACAAGCTGTTATAAGATCACTTATATCTAATTACTAATCTGGAAAGATTTAGAAGAAAACAATCATGTATACTGCAAATACCTAAATATATTTGTTATATAAATCTCATACATTTTTCTACAAACAAATCAGTATCAACATTTTTATAGTCCAGATGTTTCCATTCCCAGCCTTTGTTGGCACCTGCATAAATAAAAAATTAAAAAAAAATTGAACCGTGTTGATATGCTACTACAATTCAGATTTCTTTTTTTATTGGAAAAATATATTATTGTCCATGGATACCCACAGCAGTTTTTCTCAGGGTGCTGATCATCATCAAGACATAACTTTTTGTGAAATTGTACCTGCCGCCAAAATTTTTGATCAGCAGAGGTAGCAATTTTCTCAGGGGCAACAAATCCTAAAAAATTCTCAAAGTTGTACACAACACCATGCTAAATATGCAAGTTTTAAAGTCAAAGTGGATTCACAGTAGAGAGCACAGCCCATCTGACACCGCCCTGTGGGCACCCATGTTATTGTTCAATAACATGTGGCTTCGATTTCATTGAAATTATAGTGAGCTTTGCATATCAGCCGTGCTGCTCTAAGAATAAATGATTTAAATGAAGTATGTAAACTATTTTGGACAAAGAGCAGTATAAATCATCACTGGTTATTGAGTATTATAAAGACTTACAAATGTTATGGTCTGCAAATATCCTTCAGAGCTGTGGCTCTTGAGTACATCACAAGTAATCTCCGAACTTCTGATAATTCTCTGGACCTCATGGGTGAGACCGGCGGCTGAACTTTTTGTAGTGCTCCACTGTTCAAAAAGTTATGTGGAGATTCCAACATGTGTGATCTTCAAATATTACACTCCTCAAATGGTAACCGCTGCATCTCTGATCTTCCTCAGCATCTGCAGAAGCTTGGCTACTGACGGGATCACTAGGGATCACCTTAAAAAG